AACATGTTGCATTTGTTGGCTTTATCTATCATGAGACGAGATACCGACAGTGTTCCTGTCTGGTGCGCTGTTCTCTTCGCGGCCTCAGGGGTTTTCCAGGTAGACAGGCTCTACGACGACTCGACCCGTCTCTGGGCACCCTATCAATGGGCTTGGTACTTAGGGTTGGTCAGAGAATGTATCGACATTGCGCAGCTCGTTATGGCACGAGAATCTAGCGCTTCATCATGCCTGAGTCTGTTTCTAGCTTCCTGGATGCTCGTTCTCTACGCCATTCTGCACTATTCCATTCGGCCCGGAAAAGGGAGCAGTCAGACACCTCCAGCTCAGAGCAAAACCCAGAGCACTATGCCCGGCGAAGTCAATTTCGAGAATATCCACAGAATAAGTTTCGATCTGGGACGATGGACGGACTCGTTTCGTACCTTCAAGCGGTTCATCTGGCCAAGTGACAATGCCCCGATGAAAGTGCGTCTTCTTTTCATGGTGCTGCTGAATCTAGGCCGCAAGGGACTCGAGCATTGGGCTTCGCAGACTTTTGGTCGAATCATCGATGGCCTCGCAGATAACGATGTATGGTCTCCCGGAAGCACGCTTCTGCTTACGTGGGCCATCTCGCGGGTTTGCGTGCTCTTAGTACGCGTGCCAAAACAGTGGATGTGGCTCTGACTGCATGCCTATAGCGAAGAAAATTTCGACAAAGCTATTTTTGCCAAAATTATGAGCGCGGATGCCGCTTTCCATACGCAGAACAACCCGGCGAGGCTACACAATGCAGTGGACAATGCGCAAGGCGTTAGGTCATCCTTTGACGCTCTCGTAGAGGCCTCTGTCGATGCTTCGTTTGCAACGTGCGTCACTATTCCGGCTGCAGCACGTAAGTTCGGACGACACGTAATAGCCATCATGGCCATACGTCTGATTGTGTTGTTCATCAACTTCAGACGAGGGACAGCAAGATCTCACCGCACCAATGGGCAAATTTTGGCCATTCAGAATTTCCACAAGGAGCGTCGGGAGGACAAAATCAGAGGTTGGAGGACGGCGGCTGTCTTTGGCCAGCTCGCGCATCAGATTTCCGAGAACGACAAAAGCGTCGAGCGCCTTCACCGATCAGTATCCCAGTTTCACAGAGAGGCGCTCACATCTTGGGCTTACAGAACCATGACCGAAGACGCCGGACACGTGATCAGCGTGTTGGTCGTTTGTGCGCAGGTTTTTCTTGGGACGTCGACCCCAGGAGATCTTGCGGTCTTCCATTTGCATTGGGAACAGATTACAACCCCGGCAACTTTGCTATTACAGGGCCTACAAGGGATTATGAAGAGCTTCCAGGATGCTACTGACGTAGCGGGAATCATGGACATGGACTCGAAGGGGTCAGTCAATCGATTAAGGTGCACAGAGGGTAGAATAGAGTTACGGGATGTCAGTGTTAGCCTTGGTGGCCAGGTGGTGCTCGATTGCTTCAACCTGGAGATTCCGTCGGAAAAGAAAGTGGCCCTTGTTGGGCCTACAGGTGTGGGAAAATCAACGATACTCGGTCTGATAGCAGGTCAAATTGAACCTGACAGTGGTAAGGTCCTAGTGGACGGCCAAGATCTTAGAGAGGTCGACCGCCACTCGTAAGTCACCCAAAGCTTCAGATGTTTCTTCCAGCTAACACAGCGCCAGGATCCCGGACCATATAGGTATTCTTGAACAAAAACCCCACATCTATAACACTACCGTTAAAGAGAATATCCTCATTGGGAAACGAGAAGCCACGATGGGTGAGATCGAAGACGCCTGCAAGAAAGCGCATATACACGATGACATTTCCAGACGAGAGATGGGCTATGAAACCCCTTGCGGGGTTGATGGAAGGTATGAATCACATGCCAGCGGTATGGTGCAAGCTGACTTGTCTAGGAACTTCTCTGGAGGGCAG